ATGTTTATTTATTTTTGAGAGAGACAGAGACAGAATGTGAGTGGGTTAGGGGCAGAGGGAGAGGGAGACACAGAACCCGAAGCAGGCTTCAGGCTCCCGAGCTGTCAGCACCAGAGCCCGACGCAGGGCTCGAACTCTGAGATCATGACCTGAGCTGAAATCAGACACTCAACCGACTGAGCCACCCAGGCGCCCCAAGTCTTTTTTCTTTTTAATGTTAATTTATTTACTTTAGAGAGAGAGCACAAACAGGGAAAAGGCAGAGAGAGAGGGAGACACAGAATCCGAGGCAGGCTTTAGGTTCTGAGCTGTCCGCATAGAGGCTGATGCGGGGCTGGAATCCATGAACACGAGATCATGACCTGAGCTGAAGTCAGACACTTAACCAACTGAGCCACCCAGGCGCCCCAATTAAGAGTCTTTTGCTGCTTTTTAAAAAATTCTTTTGTCAAAAAAAATTTTTTTTAATGTTTATTTATTTTTGAGAGAGGGAGAGAGAGAGAGGGCAAACTAGGGAGGGGCAGAGAGAGAGAGGGAGACACAGAATCCGAAGCACGCTCCAGGCTCCGACCTGTCAGCACAGAGCCCGACGTGGGGCTCAAACTCGTGAACCATGAGATCATGACCTGAGCCCGAGTCGGACACTCAACTGACTGAGCCACCCAGGCGCCTCTAAAATTCTTTCATTTTTGAGCATTAGATATAATCTATTGACTTCCTACTATGGAAAAGTAAGGTCTTAGCATCTTATATCCAATATAGACCTTTCCCATCCTCCCAAAGTACTTATCACCAATTTTGGGTAAATTACTATGGCTGTGTAAATATTTTCTACAGTCGAACCATGTATGATTGCATGTAGTACATAGTTTTCATGAACATAATTTTAACTCCATGATTGATTGATTATTTATTTATTTATTTGCTGTTATAAATAGGGCACAAAGCCCTATATATATATTTATACATATATATACATATATATGTATATATATATATATATATATATAAAGTGTGCACAAAGTCTTTTGTATGTAGTATGGAGAATCCCAAGCAGGCTCCACGTTCAGAGCAGATCCTGGTGCAGGGACTCCATCTCATGACTGTGAGATCATGACCTGATTGGAAATCAAGAGTTGGATGCTTAACGTACTGAGCCACCCAGGCGCCCCTCTTTTAACTTTTGACCAAGAATGTGATGCATTCAGTGAAGTGGGAAAGTACGATAATCTCAAGTATGCTACCTAATGAATTTTTTTTTCTGCTTAATGAATTTTTACATATGTTTATGCTTCGAACCACCTGCCAGATCCAGTCAAGATATAGAACATTTCCATTACTCAGAAGATTCCTCAGATCCCTTCTCAATCAATCCCACACCCCTGCCAGCCCTGGCAAGATAGCCACTTTTCTGACATCCATCACCATCAATCCATCAATTAGATTTGCCTGTTCGTGAACTAGAACAAACATTTTGAAGGCTCTCGATGCACAGGCAGTGGGCACCATTTTGGGAGACACGGCTTCTTGACCACCCCCTTCTGGGGATAATAAACCTTAGTCATCTCTGACCCTGACTGGAGCTGCTCCAGGGTAGGAGATGGCTGCTTGGCTGCCCAGGCCTGTGCAGGCATGGATGGACTGCAGGATGGGCTGCGGCCCCGGGTGGGAGCTGTACCTTGGGGAGCAGACTTCAACAAATCACTTATTTGACTAGGCCCAGCCCCAGCCTCAGCCCCAGCCCCAGCCGCAGCCGCAGCCCCAGCCCCCATCGTCCAACAAGCGTCCCAGCAACAGCACACCGCCCCCAACGCAGCTCAGCAAAATCAAGTACTCTGGAGGGCCCCAGATTGTCAAGAAGGAGCGACGGCAAAGCTCCTCCCGCTTCAATCTCAGCAAGAACCGGGAGTTGCAGAAGCTTCCTGCCCTGAAAGGTACTTGGAAAAGGTCATGGGGGCTGGTGCACCAGGCCTAGGGGGCCACTGGGCATTGGCTGTATGGAGGTTTGGGAGTATTTGAGGGGGATGGAAGTTCTAGACAATGTGAGAGGGAGGTCCACCAGGGCTGGGGTGCCAGGGGAGCAGGATGGCAGCAGGATGGGGTAGGGGAAGGCCCTGTAAGGCAAGTAGCGCGTGGCAGTGAAGGGCTAGGGAGGAGAGACTGACTGTTGCCTCCCCCTACAGATTCGCCAACCCAGGAGCGGGAGGAGCTTTTTATCCAGAAGCTGCGCCAGTGCTGTGTCCTCTTTGACTTTGTATCAGATCCACTCAGTGACCTCAAATTCAAGGAGGTGAAGCGGGCAGGACTCAACGAAATGGTGGAGTACATCACCCATAGCCGTGATGTTGTCACTGAGGCCATTTACCCCGAGGCTGTCACCATGGTGGGCAAAGGGAAAAGGGGAAAGCAGGCAGGGACGGGGGCTGTGGAGAAGCCTGCATGGAGCTCTCACCTGGGTCCTCCCCCTCAGTTTTCAGTGAACCTCTTCCGGACGCTGCCACCTTCATCGAACCCCACCGGGGCCGAGTTTGACCCAGAAGAGGATGAGCCCACCCTGGAAGCTGCCTGGCCACATCTCCAGGTACCACAGTGAGGGGGCATGCTGGCCCTGGCTTCAGGGAATGGGGCACTCTGAGACAGCAAGGGGTATGTCGCAGTCCTTGGGGAATACCCCCTAAGTGGATGCTTATTGCTCCCGACAGCTCGTGTATGAGTTTTTCTTACGTTTCCTCGAGTCTCCTGATTTCCAGCCAAACATAGCCAAGAAGTATATCGACCAGAAGTTTGTCCTTGCTGTGAGTCCCTGAAGTTCCTGTCCTTTCCTCCTTCCAGCGCATGAACTCTAGCCCCACAGCTCCTCAGTGAGGTCCCCACCCTTTCTCCATCTGTTGAATATATGGGCTTTCAACTGTGTCTGCTGCAAAGGACTGGTGGTGGGGGAGGGATAAGCAAATCCCTCTGCTCTTAACAAGCTCCTAGCATAATTGAAGGAAATTAGCAAGAGTTACCTCTTCCCCATCAGTGGGGCATGCAGACACACATACCCAGACATCACACTGGGGAAAGCTATGTAAAGGAATCACTCTGCTCTCCAGAGACTTGCCC